AACGCCTCTCGATTAATTTACAAGCACAGATATTGTGTTAATATACGAGACTGTTAAATCCCATGTGGCGACAACTACGTACACCTCCGTTCAATTCTTACGATCCCCATTCCGATTCGATTTTCATCGCGACGGTAGGAGGATAATGCCGTTAACTTTCATTTCGTTTCGCTTCGCTTCTTCCTTTTTTTTATTCTTCTTCGAAGTGAGAGTGAAAGAGATAGAAAGAGAGAGAAAGAGAGATTTAGGTATGAGGATGGTCTCGTAAGATTTCCAAATAAGATTTGTCATTTGCAGTTTTTCATACATTTGATCGATCAAGTTTAATTAGTCCTTTCTTCTTTTTTTGTAAAAAAGAGAAAATTGAATAAAATAAAAAGAAAAGAATGAATAAATGAATGAATGTCAATGAATTTATACAAATTATTCGAAAGAAAGCATGATAGAGGAATAATGTTGCAATTAATAATATCATCGTTTAGAATCATCTATCTCTTTCTCTTTTTTTTATCTATCCAAAATTATTACGTAAGATTACGTAGGAAGGCGTAGTAGTATAATGTCCTTGCAATTAGTCGACTACACTTTTACGATAGTTTAGCTTATTTTTCTTCGAAGGTTTCTCTAATGCTAATAATTCTATCTATCCGTAAATTATACTCGACAAGGATTCAAGATTTTGAAGTCAATCTCTTGTTGAATTTTAATTAATTTTTTTTTCTCGTCAATATTTCTTCAAAGATAATTATATTTATTTCTTATAATTGAATTTGTTGTTGTGATAGTTAAACAATTAAAATCTATTGATTAGAGAATGTCTTATGATTGATGTTATATAATTATTTTGTTATTAAATATTTTTACAAAATTGTTTCATAAGTTTTATCTTTTAATAATTAATTATTACACTGTTTTTTCTTGCAATTGTACCGAATATAAGATCTATAATCCTAATGTGAATCCATACAAATTTATAAAATTTTAAAAATATTCTGGACAAACATGTGACTCCTTCTACTTGTCAAATATAAAGATGGAAGAGTGAGCATAGGTCACATATTGTCAATAAGTATAGTCGGGCAAAAGCACAAGTGACTTTGTTTCAGTGTAAAGTGAAATCGTTATACGGAACTATTAGAATCTATTTAATATAACTTTCGTGTTGTTTAGTTGCATTTATAGCCATTCTAAAAAGTTTAGTAGTTTTTTCGACGTTCGTATTTTTTCTGTTAAATAATCATAAACTCGATTAAACTATCAAAGAAAAATTTTTAAAATGTATCTTTCTTAGAACAATAAAAACGTTTTATTATTGATAAAGTTTTAAATGAAGTAGTTCAAAGGATCGTGATATTTATTAAAACTTATAAAACTTTTCAAAGAGTTACTTCAAAATCCATTGATCATACTTTAAGCATATCCTACTTGAAAGAGCTTATGAGTTATTGAAGGTCCAAGAATTATCTTTGGTGAGTAATTAAATCGATATTCCAAACAAACTCGTGATTAAATTATTAATTAACTTTCCAATATATCTTTATTTAATTTAAAAGACGTGAGTAAGAATTGGATTTATAATTTCTTAATAAACTTTTGAAAATTTATTTAAAAATTTAGTAAGCTTATGTAATTTGTGATTATATTATTAATTAACATTTAACTATATAATATATGTATTTCCATTAATAATTATTTTTCAAATATTTATATTTAAACGTTTTCCCGATTACCTCAAAGACATCGAGGTAAGAAAATACAATTAAAAATACAATTACTATTACTATAAAATAAAATTTCTTATCGATAATATATCTACAAGGAAATTATGATGAAATATAAAGTATATAGATATAATTGGTGTCAGTGAACTTGACCCTACGCGACTAGACAAACGCCTAACTTAGTACGGAAATAAGACGATCAATAGCTTTAACAAATTACTATTGAATAATACACGTTTGTTCATTCAATATCTTCAGCATTGAAAGCACAAGTAGCGATTAATGAACGGTAATTAACGATAATTACTTATTTAAAATATGCTACGGATTTGCATCGAAAGTCAAGGTCGTGAATGGTAAGCGACTTAGAATACTTGCTAAATCTCGAAAGTGTGTAATTAAGTACGTTGGATTCATTCGTACAAGAATTTTTTTGTAGATTAATGTTATAAACACTTCCGGTGATTTCATTTTATTCTGTTACATGAGATAGTGACAATATAAAAAGAAAAAAAAAGAAAAAATATATTTTTATCGAAATGCAAATAAAATGAAGAAGAAAAAAAATGTATGCTAAAATCTTTTACTCGGTCGGAGTCTGCGGTGTAAAGATGGGTCAACCTTTCGCCTTGCGATTATGTAAGATCTCGGACTGACTGACCTTTAGGTTCGTTCATGGCATGCGGCATTTACGTAATTTACCGATTACGATGTATTAGAGTCTCCTATGCCTAGAAAATAGTTCTTCTTCCCGCTCTAATATTTTTTAGGGCTTTTACACAAATATTTAGATACTTTTATCTGCATAATCTTAAATGTGAATCTTTTATGTATATCGATTTAAAAGATTTTAGATATTTCTAACAATATGATCTTTCTATGTATATATATGTATACTAATACAGTACTTATCTCTATTTAGAAGAAATTTATATGAAATTACATGATTCGAAGAAAACGATACGACCTAAGTGAATTAACATTTTTAAAAATATTTTTTATTTCTTAAGTTTCACATTAAAACGAATGAATACGATTAGAACACGGATAGGAAGAATTAGCATACTTTTGATTTCTTTAAACACTTTTTCTGGCCTTCAAGTATGAATAGATTAAATATAAATAATAGTTATGTCATTGATATTTCTAAATATAACAAGCAATATATTTCTATCGTTAAAATACTCGAGAAAATAATAATTTTTAATTTAACGATCTCATATAAATCATAAATTATGAAAAATGAAATTTTAATTATTGATAAGAAAAATTTCGTATAGATAAAATACGTAAAATAAAATATTTTTTAATGTATAATTTTTTTCTATGTGTATAAAGAGACTCAGAACATAAATACATATCTAAGCGTACACCTGTAATATATATATATATGAAGAGAATGATGGGATGATTCTGTAGGTGCGGCCTATAACTATCTGATTATCGCGTGCCATTAAAAAAGTAGACAATGTTTACATTTAAAATTGTCTTCATAAGAGAAAGTTATATCATTAATGAACATTATTTTCGTAGTTTAAATCAATGAGAGTAATAGTACTATAAATTCACGATACACAATGAAGTGTTCATTGATTTGTTGAGTACTATAGGTTATGAATATAATGAGCGAGAGAGAGAGCAGCGACATCTCGGTTGTGCGTTATCAGGAACTACATTATACTCACTTGTAATACGACGTACTGCTTTGACATATCCAATGCTATATAGAAACTACACGCGACTGCTTGTAGTACAATAGAGAGCACATACCACACGCATATCTATAAGCTGTGAATTTAATGCTATTGGGTGGCTTTTGTTAAAACCAACCTATAAATCTCCACTTTAGTCAGGATCCATAGGTGTCGATAACAATTCCCTCGGGAATTAATTAGTTCTATCCTTGTATTTCCATAATAGAGGTAATTTCTAAGAGGAGAAAATGTTGGAGCCAACCAGGCAAGCCTTAGCTTCTACTAGAATTATTTTAGCCAGTGGATCACCAAGGAGATATAAAATAATTAAAAAGTTGGTAAGTTATGTTTATGATAACCTCTATGATTTTCTTTATTAATTATAATATCGATTCTTAAACTATTTTGATGTGATTTTCTAAATGTTGGGATTTATTATACGGTAAGGATGTTATTTTATTATATTTTAGGGACTCGATTTTGAAGTCATGGTATCTAATTATGATGAAAATTTAGATAGATCTATGTATAAAAGTCATGGAGACTATGTTCAAGATTTAGCTAAATTGAAAGCTTATGAGGTACATAAACGTCTCCAAAATAGTACTAATTTATCATCTTTAATCATTAGTGCAGATACTTTTGTTACTGTTGGTGATACTATTTATGGAAAACCGAAGGATGAGTCTGATGCATTTCGTATGCTATCTCAGTAAGAATTGTGCACAAATCATTTGAAAATTTATATATGCTAATTATCAGAATTGATGGTTTGGTATCTAATGTTTCTTTATGTTTATTTGCAGTCTTGCAAATAGAGAGCATGTCGTTTACACCGGTGTGTGTTTGAAAACACCTACAAAGGAAGTTAACTTTTATACATCAACAAAAGTAAAATTTGGTGATTTATCGGAAGATCAGATAAAAGCATATGTAAAAACAGGAGAATGTCTGTAAGTGTTTCTTTTAATCTATTGAAGTAAATAATTAAATGACTAATATTTGTGTAATTTATTTAGAGATAAAGCAGGAGGATACGGAGTGCAAGGTCTTGGCGGTTGCTTAGTTGAGAGTATAAATGGTGACTTTTATACCGTCATGGGTATGCCAATATATTTTGTGACTAAACATCTCAATGAGATATTTGCTAATTCTAGGTAATTTAATATTTAATATTAAGTATTTATATATGTACATACTTAGATTTTTAAATATGTATAAATTGCATCAAAGGTAACTGTAAAATAATACATGAGAATTACATATAAGTTTATTGTAAGTTTTTAAGTAAAAATGAGAGAAATTCGTTGATATATATTTTAATTAAAAAATTCATTATTTGTTTTAAAAGAGAGTTTTATGATTCTTATATGATTTTTAAATTTCGATCCAAATATTTGCTTCTGATAATACTTTAATCTGATTGGTTCTAAAACTTAATATGGCGGATTTTGACCAATGAAAAGGAAGGAATAGATGTAAGAGGAACGTGAATCGCGTCAAAGAAATAACTAGAAGCAGCCAATAGAAAACGAGAAAATGAAAATTCTTAGCTTGTATCTTTCTCTGTTCGCGAGTATCATGACAACCTATTGCACTTTTCGGTACACTATGCCATTTGCTTAGTTAAAGAGATAAAAAAATACAGTGCTCTTTAGTACGCATTACGATAAAATATTTTTTGTTCGCAGTGTGATTTAACGCACACAATAATAAAATGGAAGACGTCCTAGACGAAGTCGTTTCTTCGGAAGATTTGAAGGTATTTATAAAAAAATAAAAATAACAAACAACTAGTCATTCTAAAAAAATTTAATGACTATTCCTAAAACTTCATATTTTTCGTATACAAATTTTATAGATCAAAATAAAATTATAGTTCGTCATTAAGTATCTGTCATTTCAATGATTTAGGTTAACTATATACAGTGGTAATTGATTTCAATTCATTTTTAATTTGCGATTGCATCATTTTGTTATATAGATGATTGACGTTTATGAACTTCAAACTTAAATTTAGATTTGACGATTATTCGAAACTTGGTTATTTGTTTTATTATTCATTCTTAATCTATTAATACGATTCTATAAAATATCAACTCTCTTGACATTTTGTCACAATATACGTTTATATATTTTTATTATTTTATTAGAATATTATAACATTATGTTTTGTTTTGTTAACAAGGATTAAATGTGTATATAATGAAATAATATTTCAACTGATGATATATTATATTTCAGAAATTCGAACGTGTATATCATGAACAGTTACACGTATCAGGTGTGACTCAGAAAGCTCAGTTTGAGTACGCATGGTGTCTTGTCAGAAGCAAATATCCAGCTGATATCAGAAAGGGCATAGTACTGTTAGAAGATCTTTACAGTAATCATGGTGAAAGCGGAAAGCGAGATTGCTTATATTATTTAGCTATTGGTAATGCAAGAATAAGGGTATGTGATTTATTAATTTTATTTCCAATGTAATAATGACATCCTTGTAATTATATGTAATTGTTGACATTACGTGTCGATTAAAGTAATTTAATATTTCTAGGAGTATTCGAAAGCTTTGTCATATGTCAGAGCTTTCCTTCAAGTTGAACCCGCCAACGAACAAGTTCAACAGCTAGAGAGGTTAATAAAGAAAAGGATGGAAAAAGGTTTTTTTTTCATAACTTACAATCGTCTTAGAAAAATAAGAATTGCAGCCGATTCTAATTTAACTTTTTTGCAACTTATTTTTATTATTTTACCACATTCGTATTATTTAATACTTCTTTTAATATTCTTCATATTTCTTTGGTTAGCAGGAACGTACATTAATCTTCTTTGAAATATCTTCTTAATGATAAATATAGCTAAAGTATTATTGGCTATGTGGGATGTGTCAAATGTAAATGACTCATTGAGATTTTTAATCTAGCGTATTTATATATACATAAATCTAGATATTGAGAGATAGATAAAAGTTTAACAAATTTATACAAAAGTTGTAAATATTGTAAATAATTCAAGATATAGATTAGTAATAAGGAGTAATATAAAATTCATCATGTATTATCGTAAAAGAACATTCCTTAACATGTTAAATGCTTTAGACTTTCTGTGCAGGCTGTATCTGTTACCAATGACTGATATTTTTATGTTTTTCTATGGTTGACGGATCATCGTAGCCTAAACAGAAAGCACAAGGAAAGAAGCATAACGTATTTAAAGAGGAAACTTAGTATTGTTTAGACTTCATTGTTCAATCTTCTCTATATACACGTATACTTACCCTATAATTGACCAATATTCAAGTATAATGTTTAAGTGTTCATGTAAATTATTACTATTATTATTATTATTATTATTATTACTATATTCCGTATACTTATGTCTTTTGACAATGAATTTTATAACTCTTATACAGTAGGTTTGATAATAATTATATATATAAAATGTTGAATAAGTCTAGAAGAGAAAATCTCTTTGAAAAATTAAAAAAAAAAAAAGGAAAAAGAAAAGAAAGAAAACAAATATGTAATTAAATCTTAGTTTGATTAGCATTGAATTTATATTTTATTTTTTTTTTTTGCAGAAGGTCTTTACGGTATAGCTGTGGCGGGAGGTGTAATTATCGGTGTTGCGAGTGTCCTAGGACTCGGAATCGCAATGGCTAAAAAGAATTAATCCTATATATAATAATATTCGTGAATTGCGTGTGATGTGAGAAAAAATAGTTCATTTCGTGGAGAGTGAAATTTCGCTAAAAGAAAAGAAAAGAAAAAAAAATTGAAAAAGAAAAACGAAAAATGAAATAAGAATTATGATTGAGACAGACACCGGAAACGAGTATTCGAATATGCTTTTGACGTATGACAAATGTACGTTATAGTTTCCCCAAATGATTTTCTAAATATATATATATAGAGAGAGAGAGAAACAAAAAAGAGTAAATGAAGTAAAAAGAAGTGAAATAAAAATTGCTGTACTGTGTGATAGTAAAAACTAAAGCAGCGGTGTCTTAGATTCTTTATCTTTTTAAAATACCGAATTAGAAATTAGCGTACGACAGTCGAATTATTTTTAATTCTAAGATTCATATATTGCTATAATATATATTATTTATATTTATATTTAGGAATATAAACCACCATATCTTGTCGTACGTATTGTACGGGGGGAAAAAAGAAGAAGAAAAGAAAAAAAAATAAAAATTTTTTTTTTAACAAAAAAGAAAAAAGGCTTGGAAAAACATTCCGAAAAATTTTACATCGTTAATCAATATATTTTCACACTTTTTTTTTAATTTATTCGATATTTATAGCTTTTTTTGTGTGAGTATCCCTTTTGTTTAAGTTTGTTTCTAATTAAAAAAAAACTCGCCTAAACTTCATCCAACTACTACTAAAAAAAGCCACATGATACGAGCTTGATACCAAAGCCACAGTGTGTGTAAGCATAGCTTTTGTACATAAGATTGAGAAAAAAAGAAAACTATGTATTGAACTAAATATTTAAAACTGTATTGTTATCTCGAACCTTTAATAAAGATAAATGTTATTGTCTTATTATGCGATGTTGTGTAAAACCTAATAGAAGTAAAAAACTGACTACGATACGATAAGAAGAAAAAAAAAGATGAAGATGACAGGAGGATTATTTCACGCGATGGAAGGATTGCGTTGGATAAAGAAAAGAAAAATGTAGAATCATTTTATTTTTTTGTCTTTTTTTTTGTTCCTTTTTGTATATAGATTTTATTGATGATTTGTTAATATCCGTTGATAAAGTTATTTATGTACAAAATAACGCTGGAATATCCCTATGTAATGTATATATATATATATATATTTATTTATATAATATTATATTTAATGACCTACTATTTTTTATTTTATTTCATTTTTTTTATGGCCCAGGGGTCTCGAGAAATAAGCCCACACCACAATCATTACACCCGCTCGAACTTTTTCGCACATTTATTTTCTTTTTCTTTTACGAGCCACGGCTTTACGCATTTTCGCCCTTTCTTCTTCTTCTTCTTCTTATTATTATTATTTTTAATATTATTATTATTATGTATGTATATGTGTATATATATATATATATATCTGTTTTCTTTGCGTTGAAATACAGAAGAGCGCTGTTACTATTGTTTTTATTATATTTGTGTGTGTGTTTGTATATTTTTGTTTTTTTTTGCGAGCGGGTTGTACATTTCCATAGCCTTTTTTTTTCCTCGTACTATGTACAAATCGTTCGGTCGTTTCTTTTTCTTTTTTATTTTTTCTTTTTATTTATTTTTATTTTTTGACTTGTATTCGGGAAAAGGAGGTAGAGAGAAAAATTTGGGAGAAAATTTGGGACAGTGGTTGATGATACATATTAGAAGAAGAGCGCGGATTGGTTTCCCTACGACATACATACATACACATGATGATTAGATATATGTATATATTTACTTATTTATTTATTTATTTATTATACATACATATATCTAGAAAGTTTGAACAGGAAGGCCGAGGAAGTGTGTGGCCACGCTCTTTCTTAATTAATTAATTATAGTACACGCGCGTTTATTTCTGTCTTTTTATTCCTTATTTATTAATTTTTTTTTTTATTATAATATAAGATTCTATGCTTCTTCTTCTTTTTCTTCTTCTTTTACTTCTTAGATTATTTTATTTATTTATTTATTTTTTCTTTCTTCCTTAATAAAGATCCAATAAGAGTTAAGGGAGAAAATCGAGTATAGGCAGACGAGAATGATTTCTTATAAGTCATCATTTATATCTCGATAATATATTTACATACACGGAGAGAGTATTTCATTGACTCGTGCCGAATCTTCTCGTTTTCGTGTCTACGAGAAAAAAAACTCATCCTTTTAATTTTAATTATTTTCTTTTTTTTTATTTAATTAAATACATATATCAAAATAATTTATTGGGGGGAGGGGCCTGAATATTATACGCCGGTGTTATGAAATCACATTTTTGAAAAAATATACGATTTTTATTTCTTTTAGAATTTTTCATCTTGCGCGTAGAAAAGAAAATAATTAAAATTGTAAGAAATAACAAAAAAAATATTACGTCAATTAAAAATTCGTTAAAATTAATCCTCTACGTCACATTTTATGTGAAATTTTGTTTCGAGTGTATTAAAAAAAAATGTAAATGTGTATTAACGTACACATTTTAAATATACATAAATAAATACAATAGGTGAGACGAGAATAATAGAATTTGGAAAGAAAACAATGTCGAAGGAGAATTATATACGTGCGTGTTGATTTATTTTTATCGTTAGACAGAGTCTAATGGATGTATCGTAAACATCGGAGAGACAAGTTCGGAAGGTCGTATCAGTGGTTTTAGTCGAAGACGAACGATCGAACGAAGGTGTCACAAGCTTATACATATATATATTATATATAGATAGAGAGTCCGTCTAACTCGTAATTAATAACGGCGCCGGGTCGAGAATAATTTATCATTTATGGTGTCAATCCGATAAGCCCGTAGTAGATTTGAGAAGGTTGGAAACGATAAAACTGGTGCGACACTAATGATCGGACCCCGTCGTAAGAGAAAAGTTCATTAATTATTGTTAATAATAAACGAATTGGTCTATCAATTTCAACGATTTTACCTATCACACATATACGAATATGTGACATATTTATACAGTGAGTTACAGGAGTATTCGTTAAAAGTCTCTAACTGTAAATTGTAAATATTTGATTTTTCGGAAAGTAATTTTATTATTTTTTCATTTTTTTTTCAATGATAAGTACAAGATTATTTTTTTTTATATTTAAAATCCAAGACGTTTGATATGATCGGGAACGTTTTAATTGAATAAATTCGACTATTTTAATTATTTTTCAAGTTATTATGCGACAATTAGTATTTATAAGTCCATCTATTTATCGTCGTTTTCAAATTAGATGAGCTAAACATGGTCTGCATTTTAAAAAAATGCAATTTTGACGATGACTTTTATTTAACATATTCTTTCATAAGCAACACATAGTTTTATTCTTGTTTTGTACTGTATCGTTATCTTAGTTATAATAAGAAAACAAAATATGACAAAATATACATATGAAAATGATGCTAAAATGTGATGTGAAATTTACATTCAGATAATTGATATTTGCAAAGCTTCCAATTTCTTCTTCTACAGAGAAACGTAATTTAAGATTGTTAAGCTTTCAAATTGATATCAATTTGATTAGAAAAGAATATTTTATTATTTTACAAATATAATTAGACATAAATTATAAAAACAATATTGATCTCGCAATAGTAATCTTATCTACGTAATAGGTATAATAAAAATACAATGAATATTTTAGTAAGTAGTATTTGATTTTTTGCATTTTATAATGCTTTTGAGAAGATTAGCCATACTCTTGTGAGACTCATTTTATCATTTATGTTAAATTATAATTTTTTTAAAAATAAAATATACTTTTTGCAATGAAATTTGTATTAATTTCAAAGTTTAATAATCTTTAAATATGTTTCTATATAAAAAAATTTAGAAATGTTAATCGTTAGCAAATATTGTTTTAAATTAAGAGTGGGAATATATGAGCACTCCTGTGATTCATTGTACGTATTATGTATATTACATATTAAAGTATGTAAATATAAATAATATAAATAATTTATATTGACGCAAACATTTGATTAGAAACACGTTAATTCCGACACGTTTATTTTTTTTTTGTACATTAATAAACAAGTTGGAATTAATTAATTTATCGCGCTAATTAGACAATAATGTTTTTTTTTTTAATCTTCTCTCTCTGTCTTTCTCTTTTATTCTTACGTTTTATATTTATCTATCCGTGTAGGAATATGTGAACGTAGTTCGAGATTAGATATATATATTAACAGCTTGAAAATACTTTTAAAGCAGTTTAGTTTTTTTTTCTCTTTTCTTTTTTTGTTCTTTAAAGGGGTGTATATTGCTTTCTCAATAAGGCTCTGCTATGCTTTACACGAATATACAGTGTCAGTGATGGTTTTAATGTTTATTATGTTAGATGAATGAAAATGCGTTTACGCTAGTGAAGTGTAATTTTGTGTACGCAGTCTGTGTGTATTGTGTGTTTTCTTCATAATAAGCTGTATTTCCAGTTCCTCGAGAAGAGGAAGTTATCTTCTTTTTCTTCTTCATCATCATCTACTCGACGATTTTTGATTGAAGACCAAAGATGTCTGGTATCCAAGATTCGTGTCTTTTTTCAAGGACGAACAAAATGCTTTCTTCTTTTTCTACGGTGAGTACACAAATTTTTCGTATATTTGTGTGTATTGCGTGCAAATATATATATATTATATATTATATATATTATATATATATATATATATATATATATATATATATATATNTATATATATATATATATATACCTTATATTAATACATATACGCAAAGATGGTGATCTTAAAAATATGGAACTTAAGTACACTTTAAATCGTGCACACGTGTGCGTGTATACAGACGTGTATGTGTATTGCGTATAGTAGATACATATACATAAGTATTTTACGTGCGTCACGATGTGCGTATTATCAAGAAACCATAGAATAATTTTTAAGATGTATATATATATATGATATATAATATATATATATATATTTTTTTGTTTCTTTCAAAGATACCAATAAGACGCACTTTTAACATCGAATTGTTATAATTGTTCTCTCTATTTCTCTTTCTTTGTTTCTCTTTCTTTCTTTCTCTTTCTCTCGTATGGAATGTGTCTAATAATAATACGGACGAATACAAAATTTGATTAACGCTTTAAACGCTGTCGAATCGAGTTTCGAAAGTTTTCAAATCGATAAAGAAGAGTTAATTATCATCTGGTGGTCACACTCTCTTCTAAATAAGTAATTAAGTAAATATAGATTTTTTTTTATATATATTTTATATCGTAATAGAACGTAATCATCGATATGGGAATTGAATAACTCTGAGAAACTCGGTTCGACTATTGTAGTACATAGTACATACTTACATACATACAGATAGATAGAAGATGATAATGATGATAATGATGATAATGATGATAATGATGATGATGATTATAATGATGATGATACCGTGTAGGATTTCGAATCTCGAACGGTGTCGGACTTTTTTTATGGGGTTTAGTATTCGCGTTTAAATAAGTCCTATGTATTCGGGATTCGATCGATAAAGTCGCAAGACGATTCTTACGGGGGGTTTTCTTATTTCGCGATTGGAATTTATGCATAAAATGGGATACAATATGTTCGAGACAAAGCTCTCTCTCTCTCTCTTTCTCTCTTGTGAAATTTTCGATATTTTCTCTCTCGTTCTTTCACACACACACAAACACACTTTCATTTTCTTTCTTTTACATTATTTTTATTTATTTATTTATTTTCTTTCTTTTTTCGTGACGATGCTCGATAAGTTCGTAGAATTTATTATGGAGGGAGGCCAGGAATCTTATTTTTTGTTTACCTTCGATACGCGCAAAAAGGAACGTTAATAATCGTTCGTCTGTTAGATATAAACGA